ATTTGTCTGAAATAGTATAGGGCAGGAGTGTCAAACTCAAGGCCTGTGGGCTGGATTGGCCCATGAGGGAAAGATGATATTACAATGTATGCTTACATTATTGGCATTAAAATGGAATATTGAAATATTGAATAACTATTTTTTAAAAGACCATACTAGGATTATATAAGTATGTTTAATATATAAATTATTATGATTATGATTATTGATGTTTGTATCAAAATGAACTGTACCCAGGGACCACACTGTTCATGTATTGAGACTGATGTATATTTAAAAATAGAAAACTAATAAAACATTTTAAAAAATCAATATGGTGATGACATCTAGCCAGATTTTTAATCTTTGGGTTTTTGCTTGTTTATTTCAATCTGACAGTGAGCTTAATGGAGAGTCCAACTCTCATTTGCATTTTTTGTTTTCATAATTCTGGAATTGGTCATTCTAGTACTTTGTAAACCTGATCCTGAGACATGTTAACAAATATTAAGTTACCAGACAACTCATAACCCTTTAGGTCATTGTTTCAGAGCTATTTCTTTACAGGTTTCCTCAATGCCCTAAAATATTCCTAAAAATTCCGAGAGGCATTCAGGGACGTATCTGCCTTGAAAGTAGCCCATGTTGAAGTGTAGCATAGACATCAGGAATTGGTTTATACTGAACGTTTTACAACACTTTGTATTATGTGCTAAAATGCTTTATGATAATTTCTATGTCTTAAAATGATTTATAAAATTTGCCAAATTCTAATTCAATGGGAGTCATGGGTTGCAGATTTTTGTGTGCATTCAGTAAGTTAGCCCATTTGAAGTACCTTGGTTTTTGGAAAAAAATTGCCCAGTTAAGCATTGCAGAAATAAAGAGTTTTAGTAGTACACAGATGATAGCAGGTAGACCTAGCTGGTGGGTTTTGTAATCTATCAAGAAAACCATAAGGACATTGTGTGTCCATGAAGTAATAGAACTCATCTTGAGGGAGAGTTTACTTTTTGTGAGAATGATATGCAATACTTCACTTTATATTCATAAGAGCACTATAAGCTCAACTCTAAATTTTAAATGTACTAATAGGATTTCAAGTGATATTGAGGTTGAGGAGCTTCATAGCTTCTCCCCTTAGCATCAGTTGAGCAAGTATAGTAAATTTATTCTTTAAGATGAAACAAATTGCCCCTTTTACTCACTATATAATTAAAGTCCAACAGGTCAGTTTGTAATTTTTTTTCTATTTAACAGGAAAAGACCCATCATTTTAATCCTTTTAAAATAAAGCTGGCCTGGAGTGGAAAGTATGGATCCTTCCATCTTTTCTTACATTAAAGAATGATCATACTATGATGCCTGAATGATTTCTGGTACTACAAAAGTAATAATCAAGGGAATAGTGAGAGCTGTGGTGGCGCAGTGGTTAGAGTGCAGTATTGCAGGCTACTTCTGCTGATCACCAGCTGCCAGCAGTTTGGCAAATCGAATTTCACCAGGCTCAGGGTTGACTCATCCTTCCATCCTTCCGAGGTGGGTAAAATGAGGACCCAGATTGTTGGGGGCAATAGGCTGACTGTAAACTGCTTAGAGAGGGCTGCAAAGCACTGTGAAGCGGTATATAAGTCTTAAGTGCTATTGCTATTGTTCCTCTTGCTGTTTAAAAATAATCATCTCTACAGAATGAAGTTCAGACAAGATTGAAATATTCTCAGGTGTCTATTCTGTTGTCTGTGCTGAATAAATCAATTGCCTCTTTTGTTCATGGCATTTTCCTATATACAGTAATAGCAACAGAGGCAGTATTCTGCTGGTTCACATCTGTTTGCCCAAACTGGCAGCGGAAATCACAGGCATGCCTGCCCACCCACTCCAGCTCTATGCCATCCCATTTAGGCAATTTTTTAAGCCAAAGCACATGCATGGAAGGCTGAGCTCTTGCGTGCATGCACTCACATTTGCGAACTGGTAAGAAAGGTAAGTGAATACCACCTTTGAATAGCAATTTCCCATATTACTGAGAAAATCGGAGATGATCTGGGCCTTAAAATACTATCCCTTAAAAGACACTGCACTCAACAGGTTTTTAGATACGTGCTTTTTCAATCTCAAATACCCCAAAGCCTTGGCTGTATATTGATGAATAGGATATATGTCAAAGAGGTGAATCTCTGATGCTTCTCTGCCCTTCTAGAGATGAAGAAGAGCTGCGAAAGTCCCTTTCGGAATTGGCAGACCCCAACTCAAAGTCTATCAAATGCATCAGCAGCTGCAGCAACCCCTTCCTGGACTTCTCACAGGATCCCAGCATTGCTATGTACAAGTACGGTTTCCTGGTGCGCAAGAGCCATGCCGAACCAGATTGCAAAAAGAGTACGTGTGAGAGTGGTGGCATGTTTGTGAATGAGAGAGAGAAGCAGGAGGGCATGGGAGGGTGCTCTTTTGAGGCTCCGAGAAGGATAGTTCCTCTTTGCTGTGCCATCATGCAACTTAGAATGTAAGGAAGGAGAGATGGAAATTGGAAAAGGATATGTGTCATCTGCCAAGTGATAGCATTTTCCTGCTTATGGGCTGGAAATAGAGGAAGCAATATTTGCTTTTCTTCAAACATATCTGGGATATGGTTCATACACAGTTGTTGTTTTTTACAAATCTGCTTCTACCAACTAGTAAGCACAAATCTTAAGTAACTTTCTTTTGCAACTGTCATAGCTCTAGAATACAATAAGAGCGGACACTCTATAAACATTTTTTTCCCTGGCACCAACAAAGACAGTTCAGGTATCAGCAGAATCTATCATGTTTGCCAAAGTAAAATTTTACCAAACATTCTCTTTTGCTTGACAGCTCCAAGAGGAAAACGGGGATGGAAGACTTTCCATGGGATACTAAAGGGAATGATCTTGTATCTACAGAAGGTATTGCTTGCTTGCTCATTCTGTGTCTCTGCCTCTCACAAGTATACACACACTTCCACATCATAAGGAATGGAATCTCAGTTGCATGCCCAATTATATTATATGAAAAGGATATACCCAACTTCCTTAAAATATTCACACATTGCAGTATTTATATAAATTCTGCTGTGGAAAAATATATAAAGATCTTAAAATAACCATTCAAATCATAGTAAAAAAATCCATTGACATTTTCTGAAATAAGCCCTTATTAAAATGTTGGCATACATTCCCTCACGGTATTCTTTATTTTGTTCATTCCTCAATAATTTGATTACATATGGCTGAATATCACAGTTCGAGCAGGGGTGAAATGCTATCAGTTCGCCTGAACCAGTAGTAAAAAAATGCTACCAGTTCAGGCGAACCAGTAGTTCTGACAATCAGCTGTATTTATTTATAGGGGGGAAATGTCCAGGGCAAACGTAATTTCTAATGTTGGATTTTCCCCCTTAACTGAGGGAGCCCCCTTGTAGAGTACTGTGAAGCTGTTACCATGGCAACGCCACTGCGCTGCATATGATAAGTCATTTTATGGCAGTACAGTAGAAGCCATTTTAAGACACAGCAGACTGTATCTTTTTATTTTTTATTTATTTTTATTTATTATTATTTGTCAAGCATGTATAAGATAACAGCTATAAGTATAAACATGATTATGAATACATGAAATGGATACGAATAAATGGGGACATTATGACAGGGACCACTCTGTTGCTGAAGTTGTATTTTCTGCAATCGAGTTTGGAGTGGTTTACCTTCTGTTTGTATCTATTGTGTGCTCATATATTGTTGTGGTTGAAACTGAAGTAGTCATTGACTGGCAGGACATTGTAGCAGATAATTTTATGTAGTATGCTTTTAGGTCAGACCGAAGGCAGCATAGTTCTCGAAGTTGTCGAAGCCCAAAATTTCAAACCTGGTGGCTTAAGTTATTCTGTTGCAAGCAGAGGAGTGGAGGACTCTTCTTGTGAAATATCTCTGGACTCGCTTGATTGTATTAATGTCTGATATGCAATGCCGGTTCCAGACAGATGAGCTGTATTCAAGAATTGGTCTAGCAAATGTTTTGTATGCTCTAGTTAGCAGTACACCCCGAGGGGTTTTAGGATTGTCTTACCCCCACAGTATTTGTTTCAAGAGAATAAGTCATCCGTGTACCAAGTTTAGTTGAAATTGCTTGAGGCATTCCGGACACACACACCGAGCCATTGATAGATAGATAGATAGATAGATAGATAGATAGATAGATAGATAGATAGATAGATAGAT